GAATAGACACAGCCAAAGTAGGTTGACAACACACCTTGTTAGATGTTATATGACCGAGGTATTTCATTTTCAAGTAAACCCCAAAAATTGTATGTCGTCTATCATAAAAAAATATAAAAGATAATCTTATATAAATATTTTTAATAAAAGTACATATGAATACGAAATTTAAAACATTTACATATAAGAAAAATAGTCTTTTGTAGAGGTATTAGCACAGCTGTTGTCATAAATTTCGATAAACAATGAATTAGGTAGGTTATTGACTTGAAATAACATTTCCCTGCGATAAGTGAAAAATTGAGGTTATCTGAAACATCAGTATACTAGAGACTCATTGATTGACCGCACCAAACATTTCATTCGGCTCGTCCTGGGTTCCGATCCCGGGAAAACGCTTCGTTTCGAAAGGCTACAGAAATTTGATCAACTAGTTAAAACAGACACAGAGATATGTCTCATACTGAACACGGAATTACAGACACATATTGTGAAAACGTCATTTTTTTTTAAATTGATTTCCCGTACATATTGTTAACGTAATTATCTTGTTATGTAGGCCTGACATTACATTTTGAATCAATTATTAATAAAGACTACTTGATGACCCAAATGTTTCACTAAATTAGAATGTTACCAAATTATTATTGGGTTATTAGGCATACAAATATATTTCAATGCAGGACCCTACAGAGAGGAAAGATTGCGTATTTTTGCAAAAGCATGTTCATTTAACTACATATTTCTAATTCTGATGCAGCCGTGGTCACGGGGAGACTAATATATATCGAGTTTTAAACCGTTAAAGTGTTTAATTAAAATGTGTACTACTCGCGTAAGCTACAGACAATATTTTCTGTCGTATGTCTGTTTGTTGAGGTGAATTATATTAGATAGATCACGTTAGGCTTAAATATTTATGGAAATGATCCACTACAATACATTTTTGTAAACTCTATTTGATTATACTGATTTTCCAACAAATTAAAGATTTAAAAGTTCTTTTTGTGTTCATTAGAGAACAATAGACTATAAAACATTGCTGTGACTAATAGGAGCGAAGAAACAGCAGCAAATGTCGAAAAAACAGGGAAACTTAATTTTTTTTGTGGGTTTCCGATGCGTAAGCTGCGATAACGGTACCCGAGAAATTTAAAAATAAAAAATACCCAAGAAAATTATTTTTAAAAATTTCCGCGGCAAGTGATAAGATTTAAATAAAACACTTTAACGGTTTAAAACGCGATATATTAGTTAAACTTATTTGAAAATGACTTTTACCTAAAAGATCGCGTTTTAAACCGTTAAAGTGTTTTATTTAAACAGTCTTAAGCAGTGAGAGGCTTAAGTCTCATAACCGGTTGCTGGTTTAAATACAGACCCATTTTATAGATTCGGGAAATTTGAGCTGGAACTTTGAGGCTTTTCACACAAGTAAAAGGCTCGTATGTGCAAACCATGTTTTCACATATTCTCAAAACCGCAAGACTCAAGCAGTTTCACCGGTTTTACATCTGCATTCTACTATAAACATAACTAAGTATCAAAGCCTACCATTCATTTCAGTTAATGATTAACTTGGATGAACGTAACGTACCTAGTTCTATTATAAGTATCTAAATGTTTAAATAAAACACTTTAACGGTTTAAAACGACATATATTAAATACTGTCTATAGTTTACGCTAGTAGTACACATTTAAATAAAAAAAAACTTTTCGCCCGCCAGTTTCGCCAAATATCAACTTCGACGGAACAGATGGCGCTAGCGTAGCAATTTTTTACTTTGACCATCTCTAGTCGCCCCGTTACCACGGCTGCTGCAAAGCATTCGAAACGTCGGGCCGAAGTTAAAAATCATTTTCAAAGAAGTTTAACTAATATATCGCGTTTTATACTGTTAAAGTGTTTTATTTAAACGAGATATATGAGTTCAACTAATATACTATTCGCGTAAATGGTTAAACGTGTTGCCTAGCGTAAAGTGTAAGAGGTCCAAGGTTCGAATCCCGGGGAAACAATCGATTGTTTCGGTCGAGCATGGCACAGATGTCTGATCACCTTCTTGTCTTTAAATATAACCGATAAGTGAATCGGCCATGGAAATGTGTCCGGCCCACTAGTTTAAGTTCTAAGAAGGACCCAATTCAGCTAAATACAATGGTATGAATAAAACACTTTAACGGTTTAAAACGCGATATATTTTAGTTAAACTTGTTTGAGAATTATTTTTAACTACGGCCCGACGTTTCGGACATAATTTTCAAACAAGTTTAACTAATTTTTTAAATTTGATTTTATTTTATATTACTTAGTTATTGTATTTCCTCTTTTTTTTAGCATTATATAATAATTAATTAAGAATATGGCGCAAAATGTGCCTAGTCCAACTTGTTATTTATATGTATCCTGTATGTTAACTGCCAATCGAATACCATGTTGCTTAATTTATTCTTTGTAACTAGAATTCACGTTATTATTTGATCAATGTCTATTTTCAATTGTATGTATACGTGTATTTCTGTAAGAATAATAATAATAAATAAATAAATAAACTAAAATATATCGCGTTTTTAAACGTTAAAGTGTTTTATTTAAATGTGTACTACTCGCGTAAACTACAGACAGTATACAATGTCACTAGAATATCGCTAGTAAGTATAACTTCCGATAGTTTACTACCATTATGTTAATTTGGCTAGAATATTTCATAATTATAAATTAAAGGTACAGACAAAACTAGTATCCAAGATACAGACAGACAGCAGCGTACCGTATAGACGCAGAACAGTGGGTACACTGAAATTGATTTTCTAAATAAACGCAACTCTTGCGCAATCAATTAATTGTCTTTTATTTAATTTTGGCTCGCATGCGCTTTAACTATAAAAATTAAACAATCTATTTATTAACACAATGGTTACAATAAAATTTTGAACTGCACTGCAAACTATTGACTTTGCAGTGGTCTAATGATGTTCTGTCACTGTCCTTTCACTAATATGTGTTGTCTGTAAATTAGGAGAATTGGGATTTATACATCTGACGTCATCTACCGTTTTAGTTCTGCTAAAACTCTGAAGAGTATAATAAGTTTCGTTATGCCATTGTTTACGCTTGGTTAAGAACTAATTGTACTTGTAAAAAACACTGAATTGTGACGACTTATTTGTACGAATAACTAAGACAAATAGATAAGAAAATAACCTATATTAAACGTCAATATGTTTTTTTAATAAAATTTAATAGTAAAAATGCAAGATTGAATCTTAACAAAGGTTTTGGCCAGAGACCTAAAAATGTTGATAGTAGTCAACTATAGAAAGTATCCAAACGACTGTGGCTTAAGGTTAAAAAGTTTTCTTCCTCGAATGAAACCAATTCAATGAATTTGTACCCTGTTGTATTAATATCGAGGTCAGTAAACAGGCATTCGGTAAGGAAAAAATAATCACAAAACCTAAATGATAAGAATTGAATGGTACTTGCAACCTTGTAAAAGACAATTATAACCTAAAAGAAATTCGATATAGCTTCACTGGTACAAATAAAACACACCCCAAACGTATTCTATAGCAGTTTCGGGTACAAAAGAGGTTTTACCAGTCAGCAAAGGCATTGATGTTCAGTGAAGTGTACGCGGTAGACTGTTCGACCGCCAACCATATTGTCATGAACGAAGGTCGAAGTTTTTTCAGACGCTGCTGCAGGCTATTTGGGTATGCATCGCTCGGATGACTGAAGATCACTTACGTAATCTTGTGAAACAGCTTTAGACAAATTAAAAATCGATTATAGATTGACAAAAATTTAGGTTTGAACCGGCATCCAGAGTTCCTAAGAAATTGAGATAAGTCTCGCAATGTAATTTCAATCTTAACGTTGGCGTAATAAGGTTCAATGTTTTATGCTTTGCAGCTTAAGTAAATTATTAAAGATGAAATTATAGTTTAACGATTTTTTTCAATAACTTGTGAAAAATTATTGTAGCTGTATATAAGTTAGCAACTAAAAACGATATTGACACTATTTAGCAACAACCTTTAAATATGAGTAAAATTTGTTACCAAGCCGAAAATGTACATCCACTGTACAGTTTACCTTTCTTATTATTGTATACGTGGAAATGTGTTAAAAACTTGAATCCGTACGTAATATAACATCTTGTTTATGATTATCACAAAGGTGTTTAAAACTATGCTTCACGTAGATTGTATTTGTAATGAATGATAGAGATTAGATAAGTCATGATAAGACACTTGAAGGTGGGGTTACAGCTATTTCCATTATGTTCTAGTAGAAAACCTAACTGTATTTAAAGTTAACGAGTTAAACGGTTTTAAACAAACAAAACCTAAAGGTATATCTAAGAACTAAGTACTTTACGAAGCAATTGATACCAATTAAGGCTAATTGCTTTCGAATTTGGCTTATCAGATATCTCTTTGGACGCTTGAGTTTACAATCCAGATTAATTATAAAGTGATCTGTTGCTTGTTACTTTGTCTTTGTTGTAAGTCGTTATGGCTTTGTAAAATCCGCGACGTGACTAAAACAAATATATGCAGTGTGTATTAGGTAGTTTATATTACATTAAACATTCTACTCGTGATAAGGCACTCAGCGAGGATTACTTAAGTCATACTTTAGCGCATGCACAAGGATATTACAATAAACTTCGATTTGCGATACAGTTGCGAATTCCAGAAACTTTTTGTATAATAACATAGCCAATACAGAACGTCGAAGACAAAGAACATCGCCGCGGAAACGGTCATTGCGATTAACATGATTTAATACCAAATTTGTCACAACTGCCTACATGCTGCGCAAGCGACTAAGGCTGTGCCGCTCACAAACCTATGTACTCACCGCCCTCGGTGAATTCTTTGCATATATAAACGAGAAAGCTCTCCGGCCGATTTAATAACGATTTCCGTCGCACACACTTCCCGAATTGTAACGCACTGCTTCCGAAACAATGTATAAAAACTTCCTTACCTTATATTGCGCAGTATTGATGTCCTAACACGATCGATGGAAAAACAAACGAAAAGAAGACAGTCACGTTCGTTCGGATACGTCGGGCGTAATGGCGCCGATGGCTCGCTTCAACTTCCAACCCGTCGAGTCTTATTCACAGTCGAAAAGCCTTGTTTGCTCCGAGTGCTATGACGCGACGGCCGATCGCCGCTCTCGCTCTGGTTTCGAAATTCTCTAGTGTTAGAAGGAGATAGATTGTATATTGTTGCTTCTATATACCTGTGGTGCAGCAACCTACATCACCGCCACCGGTGTGCTAAGCGCTTAACAATGTCATGTGTCGTTGTTTGCTTGGCTCAAATTTAACAGGAAATATTTACATTTTTTTAATTATATTTATTTGATAACCACAACATAAACATTTGTATTCTATACATAATATGTATAGAAAACTACAAACAAATTAAAACTACAATTAAAATTAATACTTTTAAATATCATTAGTATCTTTGAAATCAGATAAAATGCTGTTTAAAAGAGAGAATATTTATCGTTATTTGACGCTCATCTTTGAAAATATGTGCACTGGGTTTTTTAACTGTAGGGAAAAGTAAACAAAGTTAGGTAAAAACTTTTTCTGTTAATTTTTCTTATACACGTACGTGCTGTCATCTAGTCGTTGAAAGAAACAACGTTGTGACCTTGTTTTGATTTATGATTTGTAACGAATTAGTTGATGTTCAATTGTACTCCTAGATGGCGCTTTAATTAAATTTGTATTATATTCATAAAAGAGTTTTTTTAAGGTTGAATTTCACCAATTTGATCGATGTTTAAGCTTCATCAAGATGTTTAAAAGTTAAGTGGCTCTACGGAGACTCAGAAATTCAGAAAAATTCATCAAAAAAAATTTCTTGCCCGATCTAAACTATTTATTATGATGTCCGGGATTCTAGTCCCATACCTCATTCCAGCAATGATTTGAACTAAAAGGTTGATTTAACTATATTAATGATACTATATTATACTTTATTGAGAATAATTAAAACACTTAGAATTCACCACAAACACTATGACAAAATGAAATGACAAAATCAAATCAAGAACCCTTTATATGAATGTTTAAAAATCAGTCTGTTGCTCTACCATTCGACTGCGACGTGCCTGCGACTCGGTAGCTAAATTGGTAAAGCAACAGCACGGAACACTGACGATGCCGGTTCAAGTCCTGCCCGAGTCGAAAATGTTTTCAATCTATTTTAGATTTTTATTTAAATAGGGCCTTCATGTGCAATAACATATAAAAAATAATAAAGTTTTCAAACCTTACGAATGTTTGTTTAAAACTTTTAGCACCTGGAATAAAGCCAAATCGGGATTTCTCTCATGTGCTTATCTGTCCAGGACCAAATGTTACACTGAATTAGCAATTTGGTTTGGTAAAGCTTGGCAATTAACTAATAATAATAATAAATAACAGAGTTTGTGTTACTATAGACAACGCTCCAATGCATGATTGCCAAAATGATAATATATTCGTCAGTGAAAATGTATTACCCGGAAACGATCAGGAGCAAAATTGAATAACAGCGCAAGCGCTAGCAAATTCTAATCTTTGAAGAGACCGACCGGCACTGAACGAGCCATTTGAACGGGACATAATAATTCATCGTTATGAATGATGTTTTGAGCAAGTGAAAGTCTTAAACGGTTATCTTTTGCGAACAAAATGGTCTACAAAGTTATTATTAATTTCAATAAAACACTTTATTGAAATTAATAATGGTTTAAAACGCGATATATATTATTGAAACTTATTTAAAAATTATTTTAATAACGGCCCGACGTTTCGGATGCTTTGAGACAGCCGTGGTCACGGGGAGACTCACCGTAGTTCAAATAATTTTTAATTAAGTTCAACTAATATATATGGCGTTTTAAACCCTTGAAGTGTTTTATTTACAAATGTACCTGTAGTTTATGGGAAAGATCATTACAAAAATTACTTATAAACATACTTTGAGGTTGTAACTTTAATTTGTTATGTAAGGACAAGTTTGTATATGTAAGTGTGTTTATATGAAAAGTTCCATACTACATAGATTTACTTATAAGAAAGAACATTTATTTCTAATTGGGTATGTTGCTATTCTATTACTTCGTAACTTATATTAACTTGAATTTATTATTTCAACTTAATAAACAAACAGTACAAACATCTTTTAATACAAGTAAGTGAATATTTATTAGAAAACAGTTACGCGCTCTTTTCATTAAGTTTCCTGATTGTCTATATAAAAGCTTGGTGCTTTACGGTAGCGAATATACTGGCTCCAAGATTTAACCAAGGACAAAAGACTATGGAGAAGGCATTGTAATTAGATTAAAAATAATAAAGCTACCATCGTGTTCGACGTAACTATGCATTTTCAAGTGAGTTTTAGTGGGGATCTCACGTGATCATGGCTGCTGCAAAGCATCTGAAATGTAGGGTCGTAGTTAAGTAATCAAAAGTAAGTCATTTTTCGCTTCAAAATCTTTAAAATAATGAGAGTGTATGTACTATATTTCTACTCAGCCTATAAGACTTCCAAATTAAATTAAAAATATAGCTATAATATCTGTCAGATGATTACACTTTATTTTATCTTTATATATCACTTTAGTTATATCTCTCTAAATGCGAAATATGTTTACTTCATTTTCCCTACCTGGAGCATGGGCCATGTTGCTTAGTCTATTTTACTACTTTTCAATTCGTTAAATTAATTTAAATTAAATTTTATTCATTAAACGGGCAAGTATGTCAGACTATTGTTTACTTTCCGAGCGAAAATATGTTTTTTTTTGAGATTCAAAACCTAGTACTTCTCACTCCATCTACTCACTGAATGCTCTGCGTACTCGAGTCTGAGATGAATACATATGGGATCGGACGAAGTTACAGAAGATGACATCAAAGAACTACAGATGGAAAAAATAATAAGATTCTTCAAGCAAACCGGAAGTTTTGAAGGGGACACGGGGAGAGTTGGATGACCCAAATCTCTGCAAGGAGGAAATGGGGAAATGGGTGAAATGGTCAGCTGATAACGTGGACTGATCACCCGTCCTACCACATGTGTCCCCGAAAGAAAATAATAATAATAATAGTACTTCTCACAATAATAGGGTGTTACATAACACATTCAACCATCTAGCCACTGCCACACATTCGGCAATGTATTGTCTTATGAAAGTTAAAATACCTCAGCCACATAACATTGACACTTGTTTCGCTGTCGTTTTATTTTGGCTTTGAATTCTTAGTAATCCACAGACAGGCTTTTTCTTCAGTGGACGGCGGTCCGTAAGCCGTACGGAATTACGACGATCATTTTAATATCTAGATTTCCAGATAAAGTCTAACAATGATACATCGCTACCACTACACCCACGAACCTTCAAAATAATGTTCCAATATGCCATATCAATTAATGTTAAGCTACTCGACAAAGTGCTTTCACTCCGACAAGCCAATTATTCTAGCATATCTGCTGTCACAATACCTAAATAGTGAGCTTTTAATTAGACAACTGTCTACGTCCTACAAGAATACAAGATTAATATTTCCAGCGAAACCGTTATCGGAATCGGTAATGACGGCCGCCATTTTTCTTGTAGTCATGATTTATGTTTCGAACTAGTATATAGATCGTGGCGTAGATAAGCTGTATTACTTTTGAAAGTTTTTATATTTACGCTTATCGATTATTACAGTGTTTATATACAGTTTTATTGCCAAACCTCCGTTTCAAACAATCTTGTTAGTTATAGTATCGATCAATAAACGGAATAGATATATATACCTAATAGTTTTTTGTATGTTGATTTATTTTGGGTTGTGTATATCAACCCCGTTACTATTTGTGAGCTCTGTGTGACCAGTTAATAAAAAAAACTGGGAAATAGATAAGCGTTATCATTGTTCCGGAAGACTTTTTGGTATGAAAAATAAAATGTTGTTTTTATTTTGATACACTATATGTTAGTAAAATATTCCTATTTAAATAAACCTTGTATTGGTTAAACATATTTCAACTAACGTTTCGGATATTTAGCGACAGCCGTGGTCATGTAGTAAGTAATATATTTCGCGTTTGAAAGAGTTAAAGTTTTTTTAAATTGTACCGTTCGCGTATACTACAGATTAAGGTATTGTTTCCTTTTGCCCGATAATTGTTTTAAAGTAAATATTGTATAGCTTTTGTATATTTATTTATTTTGTACGTACATTACATTATTCGTAATACGTTAGCCTAGTAGAGCGATAGGACGGAAGCAGGGTTGGGTTCGGGTTCTGTCCGTTATATGGATATTTTTCATGTAAAATTCGACATAGCATTAATTATAATTTATTTATATCAATACAATTAGCGTTAAATAATCTTATTTACGTTTACGAGAGTGAAATCCTGTTTCCCCGTGGGGCATGAAGGCGAACACATTTCTGTGCCAGTTTTACTGATAGGTTTTATTAACAGACAAGTAGTTGATCAGACTACTGTGACCTGCCCGACCGAAACAATCTAATGTTTCTCCGGGATTCGAACTCCTCCCGCGCTATCATGCTAGGCCACACATTTTAACCATTTGGCTACAGAGACGGTTCTTTTTAAATACACATCTCTCATTAATTAAGATTAAGTTCACACATTAGTTCATATTTGGAATTTTTCTCATCCAGCGAGCTGTTGGTCGGAGTTGTGACCACTAACGTGATGGTAGCTGAAGCCTGCCGATTGCGGAGTGGTGGGTTTTAGCTCTTAAAGCCTACGCGCAAGGACCTAAGCCCAGCATTGGGACATAAATAATAGAAACGGCTGTTGCACAAAGAAGTGGTAGCCCTGTTCTGACTTAGTTGAATGTTCGTCTAGATCACTCTTGATTTCAGATATCCAACATTTTATGGCTGAATATTAATGCTTAAGGCTGTCTAAATTGCTTGTCGAGCTACTTTTCATTTATAGCGGAGAAGTATTAGATCGCCTGCAGGTATGAGTAGAGAAAATCATTCGATTATATAAAATAAATCTATTTAGATTGAATAAAATTTACGACATAAGCGGGACGTGAAACGGCATCCACTATGTTCTCTAACCAATTGAGCTACCCTCGTAGTTGTTTGGTCATTGTTATCAGCAGCATGGGATGCTGTGGATGGCGGTTCAAGTCCCGCCCGTGTTGTAAATTATTTTCAATATAAATAGATTTTTATTTACAATATGTAATTAAAGTTATTGATTGTTGTACCGTGCTAATAAAATAAATAAATGTGCAATAATACGCGAAAAACATTTGTGTTCAATCCTTCGTTTAAGTAAACTACGTATTTTCCCTACATCACACTAGTAGGACACATGTAAATAAAACACCGTTAAAATTTTTAACCGCGATATACATAAATATATTTTTAATTTATTTTACCGACATGAAGTTTTGGATGATTTGCAGTATATTTCATTTACATCACTTCGCGTTTAAATCCGTTAAAGTGTTTTCTTTTAATTCCAATAAAGGGCATTTATTGTTTGAATGGTTACAAAAAATCTTTCTAATTCATTCAATTTATCGGTTTTAAACCTTGAATAAAAATTATATTGATTAAGTTTTAACATTTTTTTAAATACGCTACCCTTTACTTTAGATTCATATTGCATTAATAAGTAAAACTTCACAAACACCGCTAAACGTTCAATTGCTATGTTTACCAAAGTGGGGGGAGGAGCATGACCTCCCTGACCCCTCCACGTGTTGCTTTTTGTTTTCCATCTATTTCCTTATTACGTTACTGCGGACTTGTTAGCAATTAGTCCTTTGATCTAAACGTTGTTTGGGATGTCGCTCACAGAGCATGTTCATTAGAAGTTATTGTTTACAGTTCGCGAATGAATTTGATTGAAGTAGTGAAACTTCGTTTCCCCTCATGGGGTATGGGCATGGGGCGAAGACATTTATGTGTCTATTTCTCTGACAACTTTACAAGTAGCTCATCAGACTTCTGTGCTGTGCCCACCCAAAACAATTTATAGTTTCTCCGGGATTCGAACCCAGGACCTCTCGCGCTTAATGCAACTGCGAACGCGTTTAATTATTAATTGAGGTGGTCAATGAATGAAGTAACTGTTAACACTTAAAATGATAATTTCCGTGGTTTATAGCACGTGAACTCCTACATTCGAATCCTGGGGTAACACAAGCTGTTTCGGCTTAGCAAGGCAATCAGATCCTTATATAAATATTGAGTGAGGTAGAAAGAAAAAGAAATAATAAAAAGTAAGAGGATAAGAGCGACGGATCCCATTAATCATTTTCGTTTTTAAGGACGATGTTGCATCCAAACTTTAAACTATATTACTTAAGTAATACCTAGTAACTGCATTTATACTTATATAGTTATAAATTTAGGTTATATAAATGTTTTTTCGTCAAACGAATGCGCGATTTTTAAACAAATGGTGTAGACATTTTTATTATGGTCCTTTATTTCAGAATAAAATAAGATTATAGTTTATACCTGTATTTATATTAACATAATATTCAGAAAATTTTAAGATTCTTTGTAGGTACTAAAATTACACGTGATGTTGAGAAGGGGGGAGGGGGGTGGTCTTAAACCTCACTACGTATCACCAATGGGGGGGGGGGTCTTTAAAAATTCTAAAAAAGGTCACGTGATTGCGAAATGCGATTAAACTTTACGGCTTCTTTATTTGTGGACGGTGATTTGTGACCCGGACGTTATGCCGATATTCCTGCCATCCAGATTTCCAGATGAAGTCAAAGATGTTTTAGAAATATTATAAATTAATAAGAAACATGTTGGATTCGATGGGGATCGACCGACGGCCCGTTACTAGCCATACATAAGAATGAACAAGCTCGACAAATTGTTTATACTTTTAGAATATGGCGTTGAAGACATTTTGATCCTATAGGATCGTGGAAGCCGTCCTAATCTTTTTAGTATATAATTCTAAGCCTTTTCCGCGGACAATGGAAGACCACCCGAAAGTGGTGTTTATTTTTTTTGTGTGTGTTGTATGATTTGAATAGTGCGGCGACAAAATTCACTTTGACTTTTCTTAAGACGAGTTAGGTTTTTTTAACGCGCTAATGAGGAAAATTACTATTAATATTTGATTTATGTTTAGGAAAAAAAATGCTAAATCATGTTTAAATAAAACAAATTAAACGGTTAAAAACACGAAATATTGTAGTTAATTTACTTTATCTACGACCCGAACGTTCGGTTGCCATGCAACAGTGAGATTATTAATTAACTACACTCAAGTTATCGAATATAATTTGCGTTTGAAACCGTTTAAATTATTTTATTTAAATGTATATTACCCTCGCAAACAATACGCAACATTATGTGTTTATCTCTTAAGATTGACTCATAACGATCGAAGTTAATACGATCCTAGCGATGCCACGAACGAAGTCGCGGTTACAGCTAGGATTATTATACAGCGTTTGTGTGGACCTTTGTTGAAAAGTAGTGTTTTAAAAGTTCTTGATTTCTCGAATAAATGGGGCATTGAGCGCGACATTCGATTTTGTTTGCAGAAAGCATTACGGGTACTTGGAATGCGCCGGAGTCGCTTCTAATTTCATTGGAAACCAAACTATCGCATTACGTCGGATAATACATTTGTAAGTAAAGTAGAAATCGACGTTAGTTA